GAGAATTGCTTGTTTGCTTTCCTTATTCGCAATTGAGAATTTTGCTTAAATTATGCATAACATTGACACGACATATATAGCATGTTCTAATTTAGTGGATTTTATGGCACTGTGGAATGAATAAAATATCTACGTAGGCTGGGAACCGAACCCGCTACTTCACGAGTTCTAGAACACCACTTCGACACTGAAGCATTCTTTCGCCCTTCTAATACACCTCTTATAACAACACCTTTTATATTAACGAAACTTTAAAGCAATATCACGTTTACCATCAGTTCTGTTTCACTGGCAGGAATCACGAAAGTCTTTTTCCTCTGTACTCTTACTATTTAGCTCTCAACGGTCATTAAAGTATTTTATTCGCTCTCAAATAAAATAAATTTAATTATAGTTGGATCTACAGAACGTAGTTTCGAAAATAAACGCTAGATAGCGCTGTCGGCAAGCAGGGTGTCCAGCGCCATCAACCTCTCGGGCCAAGGCATTTTCGACGCGAAATTTTATGTTTCCAAGAGTGTACAAATAATAGGGAAACTAACCATTTAACTGAAAAATACGTTTTTCACATATGAAAATAGTTATCTAGCTTCTGCCGTAAAGCAAATTTATTAAAATGACAACTTGACTAGACTATAAGATAGGTACGTCTTAATAACATGTCAAGGGCTCTTGTGTGACATAATTAATTGTTAATTTGAAGAGTTATCAGCACATTACCTTCCTGAACTGAAATATGTTTATGAATAGATATTTTTCCGATTTAATGAAATTATTCTCCTCGTGATAGTCAAATACAAGTATGTTGTGAATGCAAACTTGAATAAAAATCATCAATATAACTGTACATTTTGAATCTTTTGTGAGCACAATGCTGGATTAATAAAGTGATTTAACTTTTTGTTTTCTCTTGTTGCTTCAACAAGTGCTGATTACGAGTAATTAACCGAACACGAAGTTCTCGTCGGAACACACAATCACTGTCAATAAATCGCCCTAAACCAATCAGTGAATACAAATTTCATTATTCCAAAATCTCATTCACCACACAATGCGCCTCCTTGTTTAACAATTCAGTTGTGGGTGCCTACGCCATCTGTTTTTGAGCGCCCGCGCAATGGACTGTGGCCAGAGTCCAGTCACAGTCATTCCATAAGCGACGAGAACACAAGTCAGAGAATACAAGAACGTACTTTCAGCCGACCTAATTCGAGTCAGTAGTACGAGAAAGCAACTTGATTCGAGCGGGGTTACCTTCGCCGATCAGAAAGAAAGAAGAAGCCCATCGCGACGGTTCAAGAAGTCATTTTCTGTGGGTACATTTAGCACTATCCCTACCAAAAGTTTAAAAAGAAATATGGAGCGTTTTTGAAAAAATCTTGTTTTGGTTTTTTTTCAATACTGCACATATTGCACAAACAATATATTACGAACATTTAAAAAAATGTTATTGACCTTAATAAAAGAACTAATTCTCCAACTAAATGGAGAAAAAAGTGAAGAAAACATCTTTATCTTCAATTTCGTAATTGTAGGAAGACGCGGAAAAATTTCAATATTTTGTAATTTCCCAAAACTCAGAGGTAAGGAGATAGTCGCACTGTTGCAACGTCTAAAAGTGTATCTGTCTATTTTTACAAGAAATTAAAAGAAAAAAATTTGCAGTCATATTTGGGAAACGTATGAGAACGTTGTAGGGACTTCATGTAAAGTACCCCCAAAAATTAATGAATGTTTTTCAAACTCGTAGAACTTTGAGTTACTCCAGATCCACAGGAGTTCAATCAGTTCGGAAAAAATCCTAAATAGAGTTGAGGTGATAGTGTTGTTCAGAGAAGACCAACGGTCAGAAAGGGACGGACGGACGGTCGGACAGAGGCGGACGGACGGTTGGACAGACGCGGACGGACGGTCGGTCGGACGAGACAACGACGGTCGGTCGACAGAGACACGGACGACGACGGGTCGGCTCGTGGACAGAGACAGACGGACGGACGGACGGTCGGTCGGACAAGACGACGACGGACGGACGGTCGGTCGACAGAGACGGACGGACGGACGGACGGTCGGACAGAGGACAGACGGACGGACGGAGTTCGGTCGGACAGAGACGGACGGACGGACGGTCGGACAGAGACGACGGCGGGGTCGACGAACGACGGACGGGGCGGTCGGAACGACGGAGACGGGACGGCGGAACGGATGGCGAACGGAAAGGTGGACGGACAGGAGATGGTGGGACGAGCAGACGGTCGACCGGACGAACGGGCAGACGGACGGGCGAACGGAGAGACGGAAAGGGGGATGGATGGACGGTAGGACAGACGGGTAGACGGACGGGCGTACTGGCAGACGGACATACGGGCAAACTGAGGTACGGGCAAACTGACGTATGGGCATACGGACGTATGGGCAGGACGTACGGGTAGAAGGACTGACGGACGGACGGATGGACGAAAGGGCAGACGGGACGGATAGCGAAAGGACGGACGAAACATGAAAGGTTTTCTGTGAAAATGAGCTCAAAATTTTGCATTTTCGAAAACGTCTCAAAGTCATTTTATAAAAAAGTTTTCCTTATTGTTTCTACAAATGAAAAAATTGCGATTTTTTTTTAAATTAGCTTGCGGTGCCATGTAATGACAGCTGGTAGGATGACGGATACAAGCTTGGCCAAGCCATAGAATTTGGAAAACTAACTAGTACACGAAACTGTAACAATTTGGGAAACCACTGTTTTGTAAAAGGTAATACGTGGGTTACTTAATTAAAAAGTAGTAAACTTCTAATTTGTGCGGATAGTTTCGAGAAAGCATCCTCCGCAATCCACATCCCTGAAATACCGGCTAATGTTAGTCACGAGGTAGGTAAGAAAATAGTCAGGAGAGATGTTCGAAAAGTTTCAAGAGCTTACTGGGGTACAGTAGCCTCCATTTTCGCGGTTGAAGTTGAGGTTGGCAGCGACTGACGACGGAGTTGATACCAATCTTCAAGCAATAATGTTTGGGTCTATAAGAAAAAATGTAAACGAAACATTAACAAATAGATTAGAACACGATTAAGTTAATTTTTCTACTGGCGACTAGCATCGAAGCGATAAATTAAAAGCATTTCTGAAAATAGCAAGCTTTCCTCATTTGAATGTAATCAATCTGTGAAATATGAATCTAAGTGAAAAATGTAACAACTGCGAAGCTACGCCGGATCTTGAATTGTGTTTTAAAATATTTTGATTAGAAGGTCTAAGAACACCTATAACTATCATTGTATTCGTACTCTAAATTATTTGTTCTCTCGCAGCCCAAACTAAATACAGCAAATAATTCATTGCTCTGGGGCATTATATTTGACACTAGGCAATATTACATCTTCAACGTAATGAAGAATGGTATCCATCACCAGGCCTGCGTTATAATGAAAATACCGGCTAATGAAATGGCTAATGAACCGGCTAACCACAATGAAACTTGTGGTGCTATAGAATGGCATAGACTTTCTCGTACTAGGTAGTTTTCTATTTTCTTTCGTCTGAGCTAGCTTTTCTGACTTGCCACATACTATAGCCATGCCTTCTATAGCCGCCTCAAGCACTTTTTAAAATATTTTTTTCCATTTCCCAAGTTTCCCGGCATATACTACGACAAGTGTGAACGAGCAAGCTGTCTGTTCCTTACAACTAGGTAAATTTAAAAATCTTCCCCTAATGCAATATTAAAGACAAGGATCTCTTCTGTTGCTTCTTAAAATTTCATAATAAAAAAGCAACTAAAGATGGGGTGCAGTAACTCCCGATTTGTCATTCGATTTACTTGATATGGAATAAAATATGTAAATAATTCTATATAAAATTTGAAGGGGCCTATTCTTAAAGTAAAGACGAGGGAGACAGTATTCAATTGTTTTAAAAAGAATCACCAGAATGTAGTTGGAGCTTCGGGCTCTCAACAGGGATTGGCGTTGAATCCCACCTTAAAGAGCTAACTCTATGTGGGCTGGTAAATGATTCATTTTTTTGAAATTCATAGCACCTCTCTTTTCAATATAGAGTTTTTATACATAAGATGCTAATATAATATAATCTTAGACTCTTCACACTACATTCAACTTAATAAAGTGAAACTCGGACTTCGAAGTTTAAAATGAACACGTTATTATACGTGTGAAACCAACTGTTTGTCCATGTCTCTCTTTCCATTCAAACATTTCTATTTATCCTGTTTTTTCTGGCTTATTGTATTAATCAAATTTTTCGAGATTAATTTCATTAAATGGTTTCTAGTATTTGTATTTTATACCAGAATTATGAACCTTTTTTATGAAGATTAGGTGTGTCGCTGTGGACTACCCCCGCATTCATCTAAACACACCGAAAGAAGCATAGTTAGTAGACAAATTTTCCTTTTTACCAACATTACTATTTACAAGACGAGCGGCTTTCGATGGCGGCGGCTTATTTCTTCAATTATGAATATCCCACATCGCGTCGATTCCGCGGACACGTATCTCTTAGGTCACCAGCTCAATCAATTATTTACTAAAAGGTACTTCTTTTGGATGTTTTGAAAAGTTTAAGGGGCCTTTCATAACCTTTGGAAGGAGTATTTCATATCCGATTTCGTGTGATCTAAAATAAAAAGAGATCGTGCAATTTAAATCCAGATTATTCCCCCTTAGATGTGGAGAGAACATTTCCCGTTCTTATCACACCGCGAGTAGAAGCGAGATGATTGTTTTTATTCTAAAATCTTCGCTAATAGAGTGAGCTGAATTTTTTTTATCAAAAGCCTCATTTCTATGTATGTAAAAGATACCTCCATACTTCATAAACATATACAATAAGTACTTTATTTTAAAGTAATACATAATGAATGAATGAATATGTCATTATTTTTGGCAATCAGGAAGTGGGACTTTAAAATGTAAAAAATCAGTGCAAGAGAGAGCGAGCATTTCCGCGTTGCGGGAGCGCGCGCTGACGGCGGCTGACGGTGTGCCCGCAGAGTGGTGTTCGCCGGGGCAGTTCGTGTGCCCTAACTCGCAGGTGTGCGTGTCGCCGGCGCGCCTGTGCGACGGCGCGCGCGACTGCCCCTACGGCGACGACGAGCGCCAGTGCGTCACCGTGTCGGAGACGGCCGACGCGGCGGGCGACTTCCCCTACCACTCCGAGGGTACGTATGCTCCCAGGGCACTGCGCCTCGCACGCGCCCCGTCCCTTTCACGAGACCTTTATGCCCGTCTCGACGCTGCAAGGTACGGATGTATGTCGGGGATGAGTAATGCGGTTTGCAGGCCCAGGTAAGACTTTGATGTTTTTACCCAACAATGTGCTGTGACATTTCTGATCCACAAAATGTATCAAATGAACATCGCACCGATATTCATTTACCTATCACCATCATTCACACTTCATGATGACATTACCATACTAAGCATATAGCCTAGGCTCGATTGCTTGACATTATTAGACCAGCGATTTTCATACTTGAATATTATAATTAGAAGGCGTATTTTAATCACCTAAATTATCACCAAATGATCAAAATTAAATTATCTTATAATGTACTTAAAATGACTTAAAAAAAAGAAAAATCAAAATCATTTCAAATGAACAACTCACGCTGTTGGGCGCTTCTTTCCTTCGTTCTAGTGATCTCAGCTTCTAAACTTTTGATTGGCACAGTTCTATAATTTTATTGCTGAAACTTACTAGTATAATACAAGTATTTTTTCAGTTAGTACTGGCTCATAGTAATGTGTACAAAGTTGATGTTATTTGGGGAATGCTAAGTACGATTAGCAGCAAATGGCTCGGTCCAAGGGATGAAGGCTGCACGCTACACATAAGCGATATAAGCAATACACAAAATTACACATACTAACACAATAATGTACATAGTAACAATGTCACACAATATACACTAGGCTATTTAATCAGAAGTACGAACAAACATGGGATAGGAAAACACTCAGTGCAAATAGACCCACAGCCCACTCATAAACAAAATACGCTTGAAATACACCCAGATATTTACAGAGAAAAAGTAAAGCACAAGCACGTAATGAAAAAAAAACACTCAATGAAACACTGAGGTACTATTTACACAATTGCTAAAACATCTATGAACTAGTTTGTTTATTAGAAACAAAGTACGAACCAGGAAATCACTGTCTTTAGTTAACGAGAAATCGGCCGAACCGACGATGGTGCTGTTAGGCATCACAAGAATATTACATTACGTACTCACAACAGCTGACATTCCAATTTCTGAGAGAAGAAATCGAATATGCTGCTCGAAAATTCTGTGGAGAACATTTGTTGCATCTCGTATATATCATTGAAGCAAATACCATTAGAAGTATATGGGAATCGATGAAATGAAAGATAAATGCTTTAACAACGACGAAAAAAGTTAAAAAGGGAATTATAAGTCGAAATCGAAGAAAATTTCTTTAAAAATGTCACATGAGTATAGATAATTTCCTTTCGTCACATCATAAATCTAAACTAAAAGGCATTGTTCTAAAGTGAAGAGAAAAAAAAACATTTCATTGAAGTCCGTCTTCTAGTTATAATTATTACAATAATGTGAAAATTCTATTGTTTCTATGTATAGTTAAGAAATATTGGATTAGAAAAGAGAGATTGCATTAAAAACAGAATTTTCTTGAGTCAATTTGTTTGCATGTTATCAAAGATTTCCATTTGAAATTACGCATAGTCATATTTTACTATTTTCAGAAGGAAAGAGAAATCGATTCTGTTAATACCGTGTTTTACATACACCATGTGATCAAAAGTATTAGAACACGTCCAAAATGGTGTTCTGGTGTAATCTGTGTTTTTCATGGCGAGGGCTTGCACCCCTTGTTGTTTGGTGTGGCATTACCCCGGCACAGGCCTACGTTGATGTTTTAAACACCTTGCTCCCCACTGTCGGAGAGCAATTCGGGGATGGCGATTGCACCTTTCATCACGATCGAGGACCTATTCATACGAGTACTGCACGGCCTGTGGCGGAATTACATGACAATAACATCTCTGTAATGGACTGGCCTGCACAGTCCTGACTTCAATCCCATCGAACACCTTTGGGATGTTTTAGAACGCCGACTTCGTGCCAGGCATCACCGACCTACATCGATACCTCTCCTCAGTGCAGCACTCCGTGAAGAATGGGCTGGCATTCCCCAAGAAACCTTTCAGTATATGATTGAAAGTATGGCTGCGAGAGTGGAAGCTGTCATCAAGGCTAAGGGTGGGCCAACACTCTATTGAATTCCATCATTACCGATGGAGGGCGCCACGAACTGATAAGTCATTTTCAGTGTCCTGATACTTTTGATCACATAGTGTATGTATAATCCCTGTGGACACCTAATGGACATACTTTCCTTATGAAAATATGTTAAAAGTAATCTATCTTTTATTTCATGAAAATGTGTTAAAAATAAAGATCTTATTTGTAATGAAGATCTAAAAACACAGAGAGAAGAATTTCTTCTTATTAGTAATAACACAACTATTTATTTTCTTCTAACAAGTGTTTAGAAACATTTATTACTTTTTATTGTGGTTATACAAACGTATGAATGTACAGCGACGTATTTTTAACAATTTTGATTTGCAGCACCTTCAAGTTATTTTAGCGCGCGTTTCGTCATTCAGCATGCATATTCAAGCATTACGTGTGTATACATTAGATTGTGACGTATTGCGTGTATTAGCTTGTAGGTTGTTATGTAATCCGTGACATACATGAAATCATTTATCAGGTGACAGCCCAATGGAACTCCCACTTAGTGAATTTTATTATTTTAAGGTTTCTCATTCCTGAGACGCGCAATTAATGGAAACGTGTAGGTGACTCGCATGTGCAACGCCGCAGACGGCGCCCTTCCGCGCACGCGCGCGGTCGCTGTGAAGTGCACGCAGTGCGCTCGCGCGCGGCCATGCACTTGGCGCGGCAGCAGATCACGCGCGCGCACTAGTGCCAATGAATGCTGCTCATACAAACCCCTATAAACGAAACGCCCAACTATGTGCAGACGTGCTCGTGCTTTGACTATAAAATAAACCTCGAGGTATGTACAGAGGGGTACAAAAAAGTGAATACAGTCTTTGGCAGTGAATATATTTGGAACGGGGAGATATACGGCTGTGACTATTGCTTGCTATTTCAGTTGAATGTTTTGTTCATGCTCTTCCCATTACGTGTGATCAATGTGATCCCCATTAGCAGCTGAGCAACGCCCATGCCGCTGAACTGCTGACCAAGTGTATTATTTTTTTTTGGACCCTTCTGTATTTTCCTTCTTGTGAATTCCGTTATGTCAATGCCAAGTTTGAGGAAGTACATAACAAATATATTACTTTATCAAAGCAATTTTCTTTTAACTAAGCTGTTAATAGAAATTTGCGCGTATGATTTCATACTTCTTATAAACTGATAAATCATTTAATTATTTCGTGTATCAATAATCTATTAAATTCCATAAAAAGCTATTTACATACCAAAACAAAACAAAAAATTAAAAGTGAAAAGAGTGAAAAAATATTTTTAAAATGCCAATTTTTATATGCAATATAGAATGAAAAGTCATAAATTATTTCAGTAAAAAGGCCATAAGTTATTTCATTAATTGATTGTTGATGTATGCGTCTGCAGTTTCTTTGCACATTACAATGCAGTTTCTTAAACAACACAATGCATATTAACAATTTTCAATTTCTATAGTACATCTATTAACGTGTACATATATTAGTTTGGAATATATCTAATCGAACCAATGCCGCACCTCATCAACTGTTAAACTGTTATCATCATCATCATCATCATCATCGTGAAAATCATAATGCTTTGCATATATTCGTATTGAGTCAAAAAAACAATATTTCTCTTCATGCTAAGCCTCGCGAATAAAATCAACAGTTAACGAAAAGCGACCTCAATCGTCACGAATACTTTCACATGCGTTTGTAAACATAGCGGAAGAAATACACGTCACGCATTCTGAAAACAAGAAAAGTGCGGAGCTTGCTGTCTGGAGTGTAGCTAATTAGGTAGTGAAACTAGCAATCGTGCTTCTGAGAAACCGTGTACCAATTTGCCTCACAAAATATTACGGTATCTTCCTATCAAGACCGAGGCGGTTTGGCGATCTAATTTTATTGCAGGCCACAAAATTGCAGTGGCATACGCAATAACGACACTCAGCACTCAACACTCTTTCCTTGAATTTCAATTGGCGCAAAATGTTAGGTTACCATTTGGCACATTCTTAGATATATTGGCACTTCAAATCTTTCATTTACCTTTGGCAAGCTGGCAAAAACCTAAAATCTAAAATATTTGCACACTATTGCGCAAATAATGTAATATTTCAATTATAACACCACTCTAATATTGATTCGTATAAAATATAACCCATAACATGACGAAAGCCTCATTAAAGAATAAAATTACTGTTCTTTAAGCACACAAAAAAAAATAAGAGTACAGGGCAAATGATAGGGGAACTATGGATGCATAGTGCACGAATATTTTTGATATTATAAAATGAAACATTACATGTTGATCCATACTCATATAAGATGAGTAAAGACGGTGATGATCTGAGAGGGGTGATAAAATCTTACGATGGTTTCAAGCAACTCACTGGAAAATGGTGGGTGAGAGACTGAGCTGTGGAATCAGCCTCTTAAGGCGAGTGAGTGCCCAGCGTTCCTTTCGCAAAGAGCAGGCCCATGAGCGTCGGTGGCGCGTGGCGTGTGCTCGCAGGCTACCTGATGGTGCGGCAGAGCGGCCAGTGGGGGAAGCTGTGCCTACACAACTTTGAGAAGATGGTGGCCAACTCGCGCGCGTCGTGGCAAGTGTCCGACCTCGGGCGCGCCGTCTGCAAGGCCATGACCTACAGGTGAGCATCGCGGAGCTACGTTGCCCTTTCCGCCCCTCCCGCGACGTCGCTCGCATCCGGGAGGCCTTCGTGCAAGATGCTTCTCGCTCGCATGAGAACTCCCACAGAAGAGAGGTTTGCTCTGTCATATTGGACATCTTCAAAGAGACGTCCAAACTATTTTTTTTATCGTTTAAAAGGTTGAAGATTCAATACTACTTACATTCAATATTCGTACCAGATAAATTTACGGTTGAATGTTAATTAAAATATAATTCGCATATAATGGAATGCTCACATTATCAGCGATGAATCCCGGACAACTGACATACGTAAGTTGTACTGGTTTCCCTTCTGGTTTCTCAAGCCTTCTTAAGAATCTTACATGCAACGTTCCATTAGTAATGAAATTTATGCAATAATTCAGTTCCTTCATTGTGTTAATGTAATGAATTCGTGCCGTTTGATCAAAGCAACTTTAGATTTGTTTCCGACACTCCTTTTTCGTGTTTTTAAGGGTTCTCCCAAAGCTATACTCTTGCAGTGTTCATTAATTTTTACTTCCATTCTCTCTCAGCTGCTCCGTAATGTAGTCCGTTCTTCCGTCATCCAGTGAAAGTAATAAACAAGAGCGGAGTAACGAAAAAAAATAAACATGTAAGAAGACTTGGTTTGCAAATATGAAGAACATCTCTGCAGAAATAGTTCTTCCTATTTCAACGTTTGTGCTTGGTTTTACTGCTGTGAAGTTTTCAGTTTAACAGAAAGGGAAGTGGCGATTCTAAAATGACAGGGCGAAATATGTAAATGACCCGAATTTACATATTCCCAACATACAAATTTACAAATAGTAAAGAACCATAACATTTTTCATAACATTGGCACGGCTCTCTATTGTCAAAGACAGAGTTACAATTACACCGAAGATATTATTATTATACAATATTATTAATTTTACAAATTCCTATCTGTATGCTTTATAGTCCCTAACTTTAAGAAAATTATAAGCATCGAATAATGAAAATAGTACAATATATAAATATACAATTAACACAAATTAATACAAATATCAAAAAAATTAACATTAATTTCAGCGGAAAGTAACGGTTTTGACACAAAAACATTTTTATCATCGAGAACGTTGTCTAACTTCCAAATGTAAAAGTGGTTTTTCATTTGGCCAGAAATATTGTAAAAACAAGAAATCCTATATTTAACAACCCTACGGTTAAAATGATGTTCCCAATTTCTTAATGTCAGATGCTACTCCGAAATGACGCTGTCGAGTTCAAATCATTTCTTAGAATTTCGAAGTGAATTACTCTACCTGGCGCCTGTGTGAGCGTCCTTCTCAGCGTGCGTGTACAGCTCTCACGCGACCGGTCGGCAGGCGCGCAGGCACAGTTTGAGTTGACCGCTGGGGCCCTGCTCTCGTGGCTAGGCCAGCGCGCGGTCGCCCTGCGGATCAGGGGTGGGGACGGAAAAGAGAAACACGCCGGAATTTCAATTTTGTGAAGTTAATACTTAAGGCTGAAACGGTATGTATGAAATATAGTTTATCGGAGATTCTATACTATTGTTTTCTCTCAGGATGACATTTAAGAATAGTACGAGTAGTTGAATCTAGATGTCCATACTTCAACACACGCCAGACCAGTCCAGTTGCCTTGCATTCGAAGTAATTCCCGATTTCTGAAAAATAATCGTTTACAACTTAAATAAATAGTTATTAAATACTACAATTAGCATGAATATTTTTTTACGTATACGATAAAGAAATACATGCGCTGGACTCATTCTTGGAGAATACGTATTAATCCACATAATACTCGGGCAAAAATCTTTACTTTATATGCCTTTCAAAACCTCTTATCATTAACAATATCTAATTCCTTGGTCTGAAAGTTATAGTTCTGTAAAATATTTAGGAGTTTATGGACTTAAGGATTACGTGGAAGTCGTACATCGAAATTATAATCAAAACATGTATATGTTTTGATATGTTCAACTCCCTAAAACCTCCCTTTTTTAAAAAAGTTCTCTGTAAAAGGTCAACCAAAATATGCCGAAAGAAAATTGCACGTGGGACTACTGTGGTTAAGATAAATTGTCTTTATAATGACCATAATTTTCCATTCTTCGCGGTCTCTGAATAGCAGAATCACTGCGCAATTTTAATAAAAAGAGTATGTGTAATAAAGTTGTCTCGAAACCTTGAAGGTACCAGCAATAGAATGTACTACGTTGTTTTAAAATTATGTTTGACCGAATTTTTTTTGACCATACGTTATCCATGTACAACTAGTGACCTCGACATAATAAATACAAAAAACATTAAGCTATTCCCAATTTCCCTATTAATAGTTCATAAATTTCATCAATTCTTCGTTTCCCCATTTAGAGTTAAAAACACTGATGTTAGTGAAAATGATAAATTATACATTATATATGAGTA